CTTGGGCCTTTCTGTGGAATTCGGCTCCTCGTGTTTCAACCATGTTCTTGATCAAATCTTAAATCGTCTGATTCGGTCTGATACCCTACAACGTTTTATCAGTCTCGTTACTGAAATTTCTAATTTGACTTGTTTGTGTTTATGGTTATAACCAGCAGAAAGAAAATGAAGCCTTTATTAGTCGTTTAGAGGAACATGTGTTACATTTTCTGACCACGAGAGTATCTTTATTCGTGCCCATTTCCTTGCTTCTGATGATGTGCGTGGGTTCTGTTCTTACTGGAAACTTAACAATTCCATTCTCTCTTATAGTGAAGTAAAAGATGAAATCAATAAGATAATTCACAAAAATTGGAATAAAGCAAGAGAAGAGAACAGTTACAGCAGCAATTGGGAATTTACTAAATACGAAATTGGCAAATATCTTAGAAAATTTAGTAGTGATGTGGCAAAAAAGAAAAAAACTGATGAAAATATCGTTATATGCAAAATCACTAATCTTTTATCTAAAAATGTGGATGATTTACTTGATTGTGAAAAAGTAGAATTGGTTGAATTACAGTGCAAATTAGACAACATATATAAACACAAAGCTGAAGGGGCATTTATTAGATCGCGCAGAAAATGGATTGAAGAGGGTGAACGGAACTCTGCATACTTTTTCAGATTGGAAAGGCAGCAAGCTAAAAACAACCAAATTCAAAAACTAATGATTAATGGTAATATTAGTGATGACCCAAAAAATATTGCAAAGTTTTGTGCCAAATTTTACAGTGATTTGTATACTTCTAAATTATCCCAACAACATATGAATGATTTCTTTAAATCTTTACCTAATATAAACCAGCTGAGTGACTTGGATAAACATTTTTGTGATGCCTCAATCACACTGAAGGAGATAGAGGAAGCTATTAACTCTTTAAAAGCTAACAAATCCCCCGGAACAGACGGTCTCAGCTCAGAATTTTACAAGCTGTTTAGTCATAGTATAGCACCATTCTTGTTAAAGGTTTATGAGGAAAGTATAGAGAAAACATTACTTCCAGCCACATTATGTCAAGGATTAATAACGCTTATCCCAAAATTAAATAAAGATCCCCTCTTAATAGACAATTGGCGTCCAATTACATTATTAAATAATGATTATAAAATTATTGCTTTAGTTCTAGCAAAAAGATTGAAATATGTTTTGAACTCCATAATTGACGAAACACAATCAGGATTTATGCAGAAAAGGCACATTTCTAATAATATACGGTTAGTACTAGATATGTTAGATTATTCAGATTTAATAGACTGTGATGGTTTCATTTTCTTTTTAGATTATTACAAAGCTTTTGACACATTGGAACACATATTTTTATTTCAGGCTCTACAAAAAATTGGCTTTGGCGATGCTTTTTGCAGGATGGTCCAAATGCTGTACATAAACGGAAACAGCTCTATCAAATTAAGTAATGGTACTTCACCTAGATTCTTTTTAAAACGAGGAGTTCGACAAGGATGTCCAGTTTCCCCTTACCTGTTCCTAATTGCAACACAGTTTCTTAGCACACATATCAACAATAGTCAGTTAAAGGGTATCACAATTGGCAACACTAAAATAAAAATTAGTCAATTAGCGGACGATACAGCTTTATTCTTGAATGATTCGTCACAGACAACATATATAAACACAAAGCTGAAGGGGCGTTTATTAGATCGCGCAGAAAATGGATTGAAGAGGGTGAACGGAACTCTGCATACTTTTTCAGATTGGAAAGGCAGCAAGCTAAAAACAACCAAATTCAAAAACTAATGATTAATGGTAATATTAGTGATGACCCAAAAAATATTGCAAAGTTCTGTGCCAAATTTTACAGTGATTTGTATACCTCTAAATTATCCCAACAACATATGAATTGTTTCTTTAAATCTTTACCTAATATAAACCAGCTGAGTGACTTAGATAAACATTTTTGTGATGCCTCTATCACACTGAAGGAGATAGAGGAAGCTATTAACTCTTTAAAAGCCAACAAATCCCCCGGAACAGACAGACTCAGCTCAGAATTTTACAAGCTGTTTAGTCATAGTATAGCACCATTCTTGTTAAAGGTTTATGAGGAAAGTATAGAGAAAACATTACTTCCAGCCACATTATGTCAAGGATTAATAACGCTTAAATCCCAAAATTAAATAAAGATCCCCTCTTAATAGACAATTGCCGTCCAATTACATTATTAATTAATGATTATAAAATAATAGCTTTAGTTCTAAGAAAAAGATTGAAATATGTTTTGAACTCCATAATTGACGAAACACAATCAGGATTTATGCAGAATTTATTAACCGCTAGAGCGCCAAAAGTTACATAATGCTACTTTAATGTGTAATTATGATATATCCAAACTCCCTATCAAACTTTCCAACTTTCATCGACAGGTTCTCTTAGCATGGGCACTAATTTCTAAGCACAACTTTTCACCACAAAGATGTTTTATTTGGAACAATAAGAACATTTTATTCAAGAATAAGTCTCTGTTTTATGATAGTTGGTTCAGTAATGGTTTATTATTGGTGGAATCTGCTATAGTTTTGGGAGCTATCCCCTCTGGTTTATGTATGCTTTTAAAAAACTGTAATTACTCCTATCTACTGCATCCTTTCCTAAACCTTGTGATACTCCTGTTGGTCAAATTTGTAAGTCGAAAGCCAAAAATGATAAAATGCGATCTTTATTTCTTAAGAATTTGATGTCTGTTCCACCTGTGATTTCCTTTTGGAATAATTTGTTTGTTAACCTTAATTGAAAAAAAATCTGGTCTCTATAGCAAAAATTCTTTCACACAAACAAAGTGAAAGAAATTTATTTTACGCTCATCCACAGGTTCTACCCTGTAAAGAAATGTCACTACACTCAGAAGCTTTGGGATGATATTGGTGTGTTTGTCAAGTGTAAGATTTTGCCAGGCTTCTCAGTACATATGAGAAACATAATATTTGGGTATTATGACTCAGACCCCACAAACGAAAATATCTGTTTTGTTATTCATTTAATTTTTTTCCTAAGCAAATTTCACATTCACAAATGCAAATTTTCCACCTGTAAACCTGTCTTCTCTGTCTTTCTAAAAGAAATGGAAAATTATTTGAATGTAATTTCAGTATCTACTAATAAGAAAGCTATAAGGATTGTTAGGATTTGCTCTGCCTTTGATCTCTTCATGTGATCATGTTTAGATGATGGCCCTCTTATCTTTATTTTTATTTTATTTATTTATTTATTTTTTGTTTCCATTTTTATTTTTGTGGTTGTTATTATGTGATGTATGCTTATTCTTCTGTATGTTCCCGTTCTCTGCAAAAAAAAACAAAAAAAACAACAACAAAAAAACAGCAGTCAACGTCGTGCAGGTGGTGCCATTTTGAATCTCGGCCAGCAGGCGGCAACAGAGTCAGTCAGGCGCAGCCGCACTGCGACTCATCACCAGCGAGTAACGGACAGCAGCACAGAGAGCGCAGGAGAGCAATGGAGCTGTGAAAGACCTCTTCATCAGCGAGTGAGTCACTGTACCACACTGACATTATTACCAGAGATTAAACGTTTTAGAGAGGTTTAGATCAGTGCCGGGTTACAGTACAGCAATTATTGTTTATTCTGTGCAGCTAACGAGTTAGCTCGTAGCTCATAATGCCTGCGTCCTAGTGAGCCGCCTACATAGACATCATGTTTGGGCGTCTGAGGATCTTTACGAATCAGCAGGGATTTTGGTGCGCTGCGACTCGGTAGTATTTTGGGACACCATCGGCGCTATTTAGAAAACTCGTTGGTTTTGAGACACAATCCATGATTCTTTGACGTATGTTGAGTGATAAAGGTCATCTGATGATATCGTATCCAGAAATAATGCTGTCTAGGTAGGTAGCTGTCTAGTTTGCTATATGATGGTTGACTGTATACTGTAGGCAGCGCACTAGTTTGAGACAAAGCTCACTATTCGCTTTTACGTGTCTGTAGTTTAAAGAAAATCTTATGGGTGAATTGTTTGATTTCTTTCTGCCATAACTCGTTCGTATACGATCAGAACAGCTCTGGATAGTTCAAAGCAAACGCATGCCTTCAGTATATACACCAACGAAATGCCCTAAAAACGTCACTTGACTTGAACTTAATTAATCACTTCCGAGCTGATTAGTTTTTAGACCTGACTCAGTCCTGTTTTGGAAAGATTATTAAACCGTGCATATGGTTGGAAAACAAATGATACACAATATTTACTTAAACTTCACAGTGCGCACTAAAATGTGAACTATACATTTTGCCAGATTGTGGACTACAGCTCTTATGGTAACTTCTGGTTCTATCCTAAATCATCTAACATTCACTTAAGTGTGCATTTTTATCAGATGATGATAATCTATAAATAGCCATCAGCTGATAAATTGGCCCAGCCAACAGGTCTGTCATTAGTTAAATTAGACTAGCTGAAGAAAATTATTACAAATACTGCAATCCTTGCATTTTTGTGATGTCAGGTGTGTGACACAGCAAGATTATTTATTATTTAATCTGGTGTGTTGGCTTTCAGGACCCAAGCATAAATTAACCATTCACAAGAGCTGTGCTGTAATTCCATATAATTGCATTCACTGGTTTCAGTTTTCGGATGGGTTCTCATGTTACTGAGGCCGCTGGATGTCTGCATCGGTTTGAAGAATGACACGTGTCTTTGCCATTCATGTGATGCAATACAATGAGACTAAACTAGAAATTGATTTATTTTTACTCAGATTTATTGTCCGATGTGTTACGGTTTAAAATGTTGTGCAAAGTGCATGTTAATGATTGACTATTGCTTTTGAAATGCTGAGGTCAGTACTCTGTTTCTCATAGGGCTACATATCCCATAAAACTATTTTCTTTACCAAAAAAAATGCAGCATTGTCTCAACCAACCTTTTTTTCCCTCTGCTTAGTTACTAAGGTGTTACATCCATGTTTATGTATGTATGTATTTAAATGGGAGTCTGATTTGTGCCTCTTGCTATTGGGATATCTAAAAATGTCACTGGATGATTTATAAAGAGAATAACCGTGTGCTTAATAATACTGGATGTTTTACAGAAGAAAGGTACTTCATGTCCTTTGATTCTCTCTTTTTACTTGAAACTTGATGGTTGAAAACCAAAGAGTCTGATTATTCATAAATGAATAATGAATCTCCCATTAGTGCAAAAACAGCTTCACATCATACAACACTGTAATTATTACACAGACTCAAAACCTTTAAACCGACTTTTAAAACAAGTAGTTCTTGCTCTGGATTAGACAGAGTCTTATGTTGGAAGTCTTAGCAAAATACACACACCAGGCTTGATGTGTTTAGAAAATATCTGGCTTGTATTTTCGTATTACTTCATGTACATGTACACTACTGTTCAGAATTTTGGGGTCAGTAATTTTATTTTAAAGAAATTAATACTTTTATTTAACCAGTATGTTTTAAATTGATCAAAAGTAAAAAAAAAAATTTACTTTGTGTTATTTTGTTCCTATGAACTGTCTACTCCTTAATGAATAATACTGAAAAAAGGTATCATGGTATCACCAAATCAGCATATTATAATGACATCTGAAGGATCATGTTAAAACCTTTTTCACATTATTACCGTTTTACAAATTTTGCATTACCATCAAACATTGAAAAATCTTATTGAACCCAAACATTTGAATATAGTGTAAATAACATAAGTCAGTCCTGCCAGTTAATAGCTGCACAAATGTACCTATTTGTACCTATTTGTATATGTACCTACCACAATGTACAGTGCAATTTACCACCATATCTATCCAAACCATCTGATATCCACAAACGGTTTCGCTTCGTGTTTAACTCTTACTTAATTTCTTAACTGTCATTGTTGTCTTTCAGGGGCCTGATAATGGCCAGCCAAGGATGCTAGCGTTACCATGGGCAGTGTCACTCTGCGCTACTTTTGCTATGGTTGCCTCTTCACCTCCGTGACCTGGTCGATTCTACTCTTCCTGTATTTCCACCTCAGCCAGGAAAGCCGTTTGTCCTTCAAAAATGTGCCCGTCCAGGGGCAGCACCGCTTTCAGCCTCGTTTCACCCGTGGCCCAGCGATCCTTCGCAGAGATGGCAGTCAAGGACATGCAATGGAGGCTCTCAAGCCGGACCTTTCTCCAGAGCTGGGTTAGTAGACATTCCAACTATCAATGCATGTGTTTTCATTTGAAATTTGTGCTTGTTATAGACATATAGTGAGGAGTAGAGGTCTGCTGATCTGATCCAGATTTTATATTGGATATCAAGTAGCAACTCAACGCAGTAGTATTGTTGTTGATGATGGTTTTATGCTTTAACAGCCAAAAAATAACCACAGAAATGTGATTGGTGTAATGTTTATCTACATTACACTTGAACAGTATTTATTTATTTATTTTTAAAATATGAGTACATCATTTTACTTTTATTCTGAATCTATACAGAATGCAGTTTCACCTTTTTCATCTGCAGAGCAAACTTTAAACAACATGCTTACAGCATTATAAAAAATAAAACAAACATCAAATCAGGAAGAAAAAAAAAAAAAGACAAATTTTGGGGATGGGTTCCTGAAGCGGTGATTGCCCCAGGGTGTCATACAAGCCTGCAAACGAACATGTATTTAATGAAATATGAATAATATTTTATTGCTGTTGCTGGTTTTTAAGATTAAGGGTATGCCCTGCATCCTGTCCATGTTGGCATCTGTCTAATTTTGGTTAGCTTTTACCACAATATGAATTTGCCCCAAAATATTGTAGAGTGTGATTGGCCGCTTAGCCTAGCCTTTGACATCAACAGCAGATGATGTGGGAAGTGTTTCTCATCTTAAATGATGGTTAGTTGATTTTTATTATCTGCATTTTGATTAGGGCTGCACGATAAATCGCATGCGATATTTAATGCGCATCTTGTTAGAAAGCCGGTTCTGTAATCAGCGGTAAATCTCCATCACCTGCGGGCTTTCACATGGAGCAGCATTTACTACACAGAGCCGTTGTTCATTGATGAGCTGCGCAAAAAATCGCGCAAATATGAACGTGGTTTTGCGCAGCTCGTCAGTGAACAACGGCTCTGTGTAGTTAATGCTGCTCAATGTGAAAGCACGCACGTGCAGCCCTAATTTTGATACATTTCTTATTTTTTTGGTTGCGACCCACCAGTTATGAAGCCCTGGTCTAAATCTTCCAGCATTACTGTCAGCGAGTGAGAAAAAGAGCCAGTGCTGCTCATTTACAGTAACATTTGATGTGTCAAGCTGACGTCTCACCATGTGCTTTTTAGAATAAATTGTGTTTTGACAGATTGCAGATTTGCAGGCAGCGAGGCAGGTTTTGGAACAGCTTTTGTTGCCATGACAACACACTTACTACCTATATTATGTTGTGAAGCTGAATCAATCCACCGGTCTAAAAGACTTTTTACTAGACCATCTGTCCTACACTGTGGGCTCCACTAAATCCTCGGAAAAAGCGGCTTTCTTTTAACAAGCAGCCACAGAGTAATAAGTCAGTGTTTTACGAGTGTTCTGATTTCGGATTTCAGGAATGATTTTTAACAAGCAGGACCAAGAGGTACGAGATATGGGCTATCATAAGCACGCCTTCAACGTTCTCATCAGTAACCGGCTTGGCTACCACAGAGACGTCCCTGACACCAGGAATGACAAGTACGAACATCTCTCTGTGTACTAACCACTTGCACAAATCATTAGCTCTGTTCTGTTAACTCTCAAAAGTAACCATGAATCAGTATTGACATTTTTATGGAATATTGCAGTGTTTATTATAAATGATTTATCCTTGAATCCTCTTTTTTTTAAATTTTTTTTATTCATGTGACCCTTTACCCTCCCCCTCTCTGATGTGTGTCCTGGCGTGAGGGCAGGACAATAATCCCTCCCTTCCAGCAAGCTGTCAATTATTTACTCTTATTTGTTTCCCCTTATTTACCCTCCTGTTGTTCTAATTTTGATGTGAAAAAAAAAAAAAAAATATATATATATATAT